TTTATGCAGGATGCCAAACTTACAATATGAAGACAATCCGATATAACATAGCTATAAACAAATGTGTGTGTGTGTGTGTGTGTGTGTGTGTGTGTGTGTGTGTGTGTGTGTGACTGTGTGGAAGATATCCGCAATATCTTAATGAGCTCTACTGGGACAGTTATCAGATAAAACCGCACGGAATGGCAGAAATATATCAACGTTACTCAATATGACGTCCGTCATTTTTTCTTTTCTTGTAGATATAGATTTTTAATCTTGTAGATAATAGACTTTTAAATCGGCATATTCGTGGTCAACATTGGAGCCAACGTCGTTAATCTACGTTTGCCAAATCGCCGGATATCGGCTTTACACACGTTCACCGTTTAAGGATAAGATTTCCCCATACAGCAGTGTTATAAACCACCCGACTTTCATCTAACCCAATTGTGTCATACAACCCGTTTTCTTGTTGGACGAAGGTAAAGAACAAACAAACGTTGCACAGAGTCCAATGTGTTTTGTCGTAACATAGTTGAGAGATAATTTTCTATTTTAAATTACCAGCCACCCGTATCGGTAAACATTCGCATTTTCATTCATTTTAATACAATTGCGGAATTTCAATACACAATTATGAGACTCACCGATAATTCACTGGTGTACAACTAATTATTCCCAGCTGTCAAGAGACGTGGTGCCTCGACGTCTTGAACTGACCAAGTACCGCGCACGAATAACGCAATTTTTCGTTTCGCGTCGCCTAGCTTGCGATTGAATCGTTCAAGGAACTATGATGATACAAAATCAAACATAGAAAAATGGACGATAAGAAATATCTTATGATATGGTTTCGTCGATAAGATACGCTATGGATAATCAGTGATATGTGGGAAAAAATTCGCGCACGGACATTGAGCGAGCGCTGTGAATCATCACTAACTAGAAAATGTTCCCGTTCTGATACGATGTATCTGCGCATAAGCCATTATATTTGTGAGGAGCGGGATAGCCTATGGCCACCGCGCGTGCAGAAGAAAAGGAGGGAAAGGTATCGAGTACGGGTAGCCCTGTGGGTGTGCGCTAATAACGCGAAGTCCTTATGACTGCTCACACGCAGCTGTATTTTCTGGCTAAGTACAAACTCGCAAATGCAACAAAGGAAAACGATGTGCTAAAGGCTAAGGAACGCGGCGTAGAACAAAATGGCCGCGAAGCTAAACGCTGTGGTCGCGAGAGAACAAAATGGCCGCAGCGCGGAATGAAATGGGCGCTACGCGCAATGAGATGATCGCGAGAGAACAAAAATGTCCACAGCGCGGGACGCAGAAATCGGAACGCTATTTACAGTGAGAGCTCGGCTCGTTCTCTCACGCGGGGAGAGATACGAGACGCAGGCCGCTCAAGGCGTCGCGAGGGCGACGCGTGGCACAAGGATGTCACTCGCACTCGCGGGCACTGATACGCGCCGGTTCGTAGCGTCGGAAGCGGAACGCATAAGGGTGAATACCGAGGAACACTCACGAGCACGTTCGTGTTGTCCAGAGTCCGAGAAGGAAGAGAGCGAGCCGGGGTCCTGGCACGATCGCCGGGGCGCTTCGAAAACAAAACACGATCGCGCCACAGAACACGTGGTTGGCCGGTGGGGTCGCGTGACACTCTCGTGGTTCCGGCGGTGCGCGCGACGCGCCGGAAAAGCCGGGTGACGCCGGAGCCGGTCAGAAGACCGGACGCGGTTGCAGAACTTGCTTCCTCATACGTGAAGCCGCTCTGGGCGGTGGCGTCGCCGGTGACGGCGGGCGAGGCTCGACCGCCACATATTAATAATCGTCAGACATCCTGTATGTATTCATTCACTATTATTGCATTGGGAAATGAAGAGACGTTCAAGCAGCGATTTAACAATTCACCGTGTCGAAGCATGTATTTTTCATTCACGACAACCATTTAAGTTAAAGGAAGAGTCGGTATGTCGGTTTTAACGCTGTATTCGCACACACGTACACTTACATACGCATGCAACAAATTCACAACAAAGCGCACTGCGATCAGGTCTTACGGGCGATTTTCCTATTTACGAGCGGCGCGTGCAGCTCGCGTAAGAAGCCCGTGCTCGTTACGACGGCGTGTCGTACAGTCACGACAACGGGTAATGGCAAAAATTCCAAGCGACCATCGTGAATCCGCGACGGCGGCTGGTTCTTCGCCGAGGCAAGGATGAGATCGCGATCGCGTGCGCCGTTGCTGCCTTAACGATTATCGCTCACTTTTCTCGAAGAGGAGGAGACCACTCCCCGTCGTCATCGTCGCTGTCACGGTCGTTGTAGTCGTCATAGACGTCGTCGGGAGGAGAAGGGTGTGGAAAGCCACAGCTGCGACCGCGTAGTATGTACCTACGTCGGAGAATAGGCCCGTAAAAAAGGATGGCTCTCGTTGGCCGACCTTAAAGTCCGCGATGTATCTATTACGTTCGCTACAATTTCCGGCCCGACCGGAAGTTCGGCGAAGAAGAAAGTTTCCGGAAGGCGGAGAAGACACCGCGATAGGTGGCGAAACGAGGGGGAACATGGGGTGGGGGGAGGTAAGCATTTCGTTCGTCCCAACTTGGTAATAGTTTTACGACTTTTCGGGCTTACGAGGTCGAGACCCGCCCCCGCCTCGCGAATTAGCGGTCAGGGACCTGCAGCTTCTTTGGATCCCGAAGTGTCGTGACCTGCCGTGGACAAAGTTTGTCCGGCGTTTCCCGAACAGGATAGCGTGTACGAGGTGACCCGCTGGCGCCATTTCTCCCGTGCGCTGATATCTCGGTCGATCTGGAATCCACTCGATTTTTCCTGCCGTAACGCTGACTGTAACGGTAACTGTTTACGAAAGGTCGCATTTCTCACGGGTCATTTCGATTTTAGTATTTCGAGTCCTGAAACGGTACTCACACTTTAAATCTCGCAGAGTTCGTATCTAATCCCTAAGAGATATAGATTTAAAATATTACAATTTTGCAGTAAATTGTATACTGATAACATCAATTTAATCAAATTACATATATAATATATAATTCTTGTAATAATTTTAATAATATGTCAATTATATATTATAATATGTATTATAATGATACTTATTATAATACTAATAATAAAATATTAATTATATGTAATAACTGATAATACACTTATCCAATATATATCAACATTTTAAATATAATTATCATTTATATATAATCGCATAAAATATCACATATTTTCGGTTTCCTTCGTTCATATCTTTTCAAGTAATGTTAATTTCAAATTTTTCTACATTTAAATTCTCCAGGTAAAATTGAAAGATATATATGTATATATACAGGTATGTAGCTACAAAATTGCACGACGTGATGTATAGAGAAAGTTAAATATTATCTCTTCTTCGGAAAAGATAAATGCAAAAGTTATTAGCTCTCAACCTTGAGTCTCCGTCTCTAAAGTACTTGAGGCATTTTCTTCTTGCGATGCTTTAAACGGCACGATGGTACAATATTATACAAAAGGTCGAGAGAAACTTCCGACGTATAGAGATGTTTTCTTCAACGTTCACGAAGCACCCGAGATCGCCGTATTGATTGCGCGCGCGCGCGCATCGCGAAAAAAGGAGCAACGGAAACATTAAACTCCGGATCTCGAAGCGAAATTGATTACAAACAGATCCTCGGCGATGTGCGGTGCGCAAAAATCGATTTCCGCACGACAGACCCATCAATCATAATCTGTTTAGCTCGTGTAGCCTTAATTACTCGAATCGATCGCACAACGGCTGCAACCTCACCGTGCTGTGCTACAATGGATGTGGCGGTACCATGCGATGCTTTAGCGATTGTATTCGCTGACTGACTCGATGATCGCCGGCCAGTACAAATCTTGATTAATCCCCGCGTCAGTCAAGGGAAACGGGACTTTCAAATACCGATATCTCGGAAAATAATCGCTACTTCGCGAGCAAGGCTAAGCGAGGTGATCCGACCTAACGACGTATCGCTGTAATTTCTTTACTTTTAATCCCAACACTTCATTTTCCTACGATAGATGAATTTTTTTTTTACTTCTTCGTCCGTTCGTGGGTAAAAATCTAAAATATTAGACACTTATTTTCGCACACATATATCTGATATTATTATTTATACATCGTCCACATATTTATACATTATTGCGATATTATTATTTACATATTATGCAGTTATTACTTGTACATACGAAATATTGTTTATACGTTACAGCACAGGGAATTTATCATTACCGTGTGTACATGTGCGTGTCTGTGTATGTATGTGTGTGTAATTTTCGTATCAATGTGGCCACAATGGCCGACATACATGCCCACTTACGTGGCGCACCTTTGCTGCTATACGCTGCACCTTAGAGCGCGCGAACTTTCGCCATTACGGTTGGTCAACTTTAATCGTTTGTTACTTGAAAACTATCTACCGTACTACTTGATAGCCTCTCGCGGCATTTTCGTATGAAAATTTCGCTTTCCACATTTTACTTAGGAAATCTCGGAGCCTGAGAGGTTTTCCGCGAGAAATGGGACGTCCCCTCCTCCCTCTTCCCTCCCGCGTGTATACCTGTGCGCTCCATCGAAAGCTTTATTCGTACGTACACGGGCAGACGCAGCTTCACACACACACACACACACACACAAAGGGTTCCACCCGTCCAAATCTTTCCACCCTTATTGTATAACCGAGAACAATTCGGCACGTTTCGATATCGCATTAGAACTCGTGTACTTTTGTTTTGCGAACAAAAGCGGAGCGGTGGCGCCTGCGAGACACCATTGCATATTTCACCAGCCGTCGTCCCCGGAGCAGTCCCGATCGCGGCTTGCTGCGCGTAAGGGAGTTAACGGGAGGAATAAATAAACCCACCGAAAGAGTACACACACGGGGAAAGTACCCGGGCGGGAAGGGATTTCACTGGCGTTCGCCCGCTCGCGATATAGCCGACAATAAACTCTCGAAAACAAACGTTCCCTTCTTGTTGTTCCAGCGGGTAACAACGTGAACGAGCCACCCATCCTGGAGGCCGCGGGATACCCGACGGGCCTGCCGCTCTCGGAATCGACCAAGGTCGGCACGGAAGTGTTCGTCCTGAAGGGCCACGATCCCGAAGGATCGCCGGTGAAATATGGCATACAACTCACGGACCATTTCCTCGTCAATCCGCGCAGCGGTGTCATCACTCTGGCAAAGCCGCTCAATCGCGAGGTAAAGTGCCGACCGGTTTATAACGGGGCGAGGGGGACCCGCGCCCGACTTTTAAGTCGGCCCCGTCGTTTCGGTAATATAGAGCGAACGATTAAGCAAAGCTCGCAGAGATCTGCGATCAATTTTCATCCCTTCACACACGATCTCTCGCATCCGGATTCTATTCGCCCGATCTCTCGTGATACTCGACGATACGCTTGCCGAAAACCGCATGTTCGGCTTATCTTCGGTTTGCCCCGACTCTCGGAGGGAGGACATCGGAAAAATACACGGGCCGTTTACGTTCCGCTGCTGTACAACTTACCCGAAATGCCCGTCGAAATCACACAAGGACACTGCCGACCGTTTCTCCTGCTCGAGAAAGACAAATGGAAAGCCGGGGAAAGCGCGCGGAACAACGATCGCGAACGTGTTTCGAATGCTTCGCAAATCTGTCCGTAACTCATTAACCGCAATTTTCCATCGCGACCGACGTCGATTCGACATCGATCTGTTAACTCGCGGAGCGCGAAACAAATGTCGGGAATTTTCATCCCGTCATTTCGCCGGGGTATTTGCGGCGAATTTACCGGGTGAATAATCGGCCGGACCTTCGCAATCGACGCGGCGTTTGTGCATCGGCGCCGATGTCGTTCAATGCGATTAATGTGATTATGATGTCTCGGGACGTAATGCAACTGCGCACGGATTTTCGTATATTGACCCACCCCCCGATCCCCCCCCC